CACCTCCTGCAAGGCTTGGATCGCCGTTCCCCGGAACCAAGACCAGCTTCTCATTCCCGAATCGTTTCACGCAGCCAGAAGAGTTTGATCATGGCACTATTCGCCCGTTTGCCACTATTCAGCAACAACCCAGCGGGGATGGCGGCTCGGCTCCTCCTCGTAACCTGGCTGACCGCCTGGCTTACATTGACGAGCGTCTTCGCAACTTCAGACGCCGGGACAGCAATCGTCGCCGGTCTGAATCACCTTTCTAGTGATATATTTTCTTTGTACATGTTGCTACGCCCGTTACTCTCACGACTTATGAGTCCATGCGAGTTATCTGCTCGATACCCCTGTGGAGATACTCCTGCAAGGACATACCCCTCGACTGGTACATAGACGACAGCACGCTTTGATGATGGCTCCGATATTTCCTTACTTCACTTCTTGCGGACACATTTGCTTCACATATCGAGGGGAGGTATAACCCTTCCTGGCTTGGAGGACTACTTAATGGCCACTTTGCTTGAGATGTTGTGCGATCTGGACGATATCTCCTTTGTTATTTGTTCACTTCTGTCGGTTCTCCGCAGCCCGGCTTCTTATTGACGATGGACATGACGAAACGACATTCGGCAAGGACGTCGGATATTTTATGTACGTATCGACGACTGGGCCTTGTATGGGGTTCCGGGGCGTTGTTTGAGTGAGAAACTCACCTCGACGAAGAGGCATTCAATTCAGTTGGAACAGAAAAAGAAAAAACCCAGTGTGAAGAGGAAGACAGAATAGTCGTTTCTAGACAATTGGAAATGAGGCATTACTCTCTTTCCAAAAGATTGTTCCCGACGTCAGATGAGGCAGGTTCTTACCAATGCTGCCTTGATTCGATGTCTTTCACTGATGAGCTCGAAAAATATCTCCCAGTCCTACGAATTAAAGACGCTTTCGAACTGATTCCATGCGGGGGAAATACGAGAGGTCTTGCCTAGGTATTATCTCGAGCCAAGACGCCAGTGAGGTGATGAGCTGACGCTACGTGGGATGGACGACGCCTCTGTCTTTTTGTCTGACTGAAAGCAGCCGGGCCATTTTCGATGAACGAAATCGTGGATCAGTGGAATCCATGACGCTGTTTGGCTGTCTGGCGTAGTGATGGAAGGTGGAGATGTTCCTGACCTTTCCTACTCGTCTTTGATGGGCCATGGGGAATTAATTGAATACTCAGAGGGGCGGTTGAGTCGAACGGGTTGGTGATTTGGCGTTGGACTAAAATCAGTGTGGGAAAAAAAAAATGAAAGAATGAGTGAGAGGAGGGGGGAGGGAACATGCCAAGGTCCTTTGCATTCGGGGCCGAATTATCCAGCCGAAATTCACTGGCCCCTCCCCTCCCCTCGTGTCCGGGCGGACCTGCAGAATGCGTAAGTCGGGGAATATGTGTTCGGATTACGGAATATGGTGCGGGTGCTCGGGGATCGGAGGGGTATTACGTGCTAAGCCTACAGAGCTCGGGCCCTTCTAACTACTACCCCTCGGTTCTACTCGATAGATATATAAGCTCGAGTAAATTTTACTTATTTCATTATTAATCTATTTTAATATTAATATTACGGGCTAATAAAAGAAGCGGTTAAGCGGTCTATTTATACCAATAGCCATCTTAAAAATTAAATATAATTAATTAACTAACTAGTAAAAAAAAAACTTAAACCCCAAAAAGTAACTAAAATTGTTATTAAATGAAATTGATTATAAATCCGTTACGTGAATAGTTAGTAAATTAGAATAATTTGATACATTATTTGTTGATTTATTATATTCTTTGTCTTTCTATATACCTATTTTTATTTAATTATTAGTCTTATTATCTATTATTTACGCTAAAAATAAAACTACATAATTTAATTTAATTACTTATTAAATAACTTAGGGTCTTTATAATACTATTAATGACTAAATTTAAGCGCTTTTAATAAAGCTATAATAACCTTAATTTAATGGATATATTATATAAAATAATTAGGCTCGTTATAATAAATAACCTTTTATTTATAATATTAGTCTTAACTACTTTTATATAACATTTCATTATTAACTACAAAATAAATAAATAAAAAAGCTTATAAAATAGCTAATATAATATCAAAAACTAATACTTTATAAGCCTTATAAAATTTAAAATTATGGAAAATCAACGAGTTTAGATATATTTATAAAACATCTATAGCCCTTATATTCATTAAAATATTAATATATATTTCTTATATTATAGAGTACTAGTTTTAGGGTACTAATTAGATATAAGTTTTAGAATTTTAGTAAATATTCTAAGTTTAAAGATAAACTCATATTAAATAGCTTAGCTAATTAGAAAGGGTGGATTTTAATTACCTTAGGCCCTTAGAGATATTACGGGTAGAGGTAGGTCGAGGGGGGTGGGAGGGTAGGAGGGCCGAGCTCTATAGGCCTGGTACGCGATACCATAGGAGGCCGGTGATGTTTCAAGGGGTGGTATCCGTACGCTGGGAGTGATACATGTCTACTTACTCCCTAGGCCGAAATCCGAGGTTATCGTGAGAGACACAGGTCCGTACTGCTCGAATAACGGAAGAGTGACGTTGGGGTGTGATTCAAGGAGTTTAAGTGGAATTCGATATCGGTTTCTTGTGAGATTTCGATGGGCGGAGGAGGAATGTGGATTGGGAAACGGGTGGTTTTCTCCAAGGGGGGCAGGTTTGATCATTTGCGTTCCCTCTACGTTGGGGAATTGACTGCTAGGTAGGTATCGGAAATCTTTCGAGGTGAGGGAGAAGGTGCCACGGTGCTTCATTGCGTCTCGGCCGAGTGCCTGTGCCTGTGCTGGAATTCCTATGGTTATCGTGAAAGCTGCTCGGCCCGGTTTTCGCTCGCGTGCTTTAGGCATGTCCCCGCGTCCCGATGTCCCGGGGAATGTCAGGGAAACAACTGCATTCGGATCTCCGGCGAGCTTTCTTTCGAACTCTCAAATGTCTCTCTTACCTAGGTACATTCTCTCCGGTTCGCGAGAACTGCGCCTTGCGGAAAGCATGTGTTGGTCGCGGGAAGTCTGGAAGTGTTTGCCCTCTCATCAATCGCCTTCGCTTTCGCATTGAAGTGTAGCGTCTTTCCCTCCCCCCCCCCCCCTCGTGGGAAAGTCATTGGAATGTCGGCAAACTTTGGAAGGGCCGTCCCATATTACACCTCCACGTGTTCGGGCTACGTCCAAAAAAGCCTTCCCCTTCGTCTCGGTTTGTTTCAATACGGCCTTTGTATCATTTCACGCAAATGCCGAACCGGAGGTGTTCGTGGTAACAAGGAAGTTTTCGCCATTGAAGAACTCAGTGATGTATCCGTAATGTTACTGCCTGTACTTGTCGCAGTCTCTGGCAAGATGAAGAATGTGAACCATTACTTCAAGAGGTCGTGATTAATGGGGGGACGGAGAAGAATGCGCCTGCTCTTACAACTTACAACGCGGGACCCGAACGATCCGGTCCACGAGAGCGCCACCGGTGTCCAACGCCCGGGGCCAACCAACACGTTCTTCCTAGAATCTCCGAGAGCTCTCTAAGGTACCTGTCTGCAGTTCCCCCGCGCGCGCGTCTGAACACCAAAACCGTTCTCCAACGGAAAATGGCGTCGGGCATAGACTTTTCTGTCATCTAAGCGTTTTAAGCCTCAAGCCCGACAGGTCCGCCAGGCTGGCATTGGCAGAGAGCTCCGGAAACGCACCGTCTTTGCGCTAACCCACACGCACCGGCGACGGACTTGATCCTCGCTCGTGAAATGTGCAAATGAAGCGATGACGGCTTCTTGGGTTCATGACTCTCCCTTCTCTGGGGGAGTCTCCTTCAGCCTGTGCCTGTACATGTAACATAGGTCTGGGGGCTTCCATTGTATCTATATTGCATGGCTGTCATTATCAAGTCTGGTCATAATTGCTCACTGCTCGTTCTTGGATGATCGTCAACGACCACGCTAGACTTGGAGCTGGAGCTGGAGCTCTTTCTTTCCCCAGACTTTGGATCAGCGCGTGACGGTCGAGATCTGCGGAGTATTTTAGTGTAGTAGTACCTAACCACATGCGAGAACTAGCTAGAGCTGTATACTTTTTTCCTTTTCATGCTAAATTCTGACAGGGCAGATCACTGCATAGCTTATTGGGTTCCCAAAAGATCCTTCTGCGCATATTGGGTTCGGGCGGGTTACATGGCTATCTCTCGATCGGTGCCAGCGTCACAGTGCTTCTTTCTCATCAAGGCCAGCCGCAGCCAAACGGATCTCTCGAAAGAAAACTGCGCCGCTTCTCCAACAAGTCACACTTCAAGTCCTTTACTTTGCTCCACTCCCCGGATGCCACCGGAGAGGCTCAGCAAAAGTTGTTGGCAAGTGGTACGCCCGGCTTTGGTGCTGCTGACGGCGTAGACAACGCGAAGAGGGGGGGGGACGGAAGACGGACATATCGGCCGGTGGACGACGGGTGACCAGGCATGCAGTGTTTCCATACCGGCAACAGTGGACTTTGTCTCTCTTCCGATCCCCTGCTCCATTCGGTCTCTCTGGGTTTGGTACAAGGCGCGGCTCGGCGTAGTAGTCGGGCGTAGAGGACGATGTCATTGACGTTCCGGAACTGCATTTTGTCACGCGATTGTCTGTCTGCCTGTTCCTCTCATCCTTCCAATCCAAAGAATTGCATTATCTGAGGCCTTCTCTAGAATGGAAGAGTTGCGCTTCAGAACAGAACGTTAGATTGGCGGGGCTGCATTCCGAACCACTCAGGCAAACGATCCCTGGCACTTGCGCGTATGCTGGACCAGAAATCTGCCGGCCGATGAGTTACCCAAGCTTCAAATACCTCGTCTCAAATATTACGGACTGGGCATTCCTTTCCCAAATCCCACGGTCTTATGGGCCAACACTCAACTCACTCTCGAGAAGAACCACGTTCAGACAAGGGGCATAATTAGGGACATGGGACGGAAGAGAGAGGGGGATGACAAGGGGGGGGTTCAGGGCCCAGGGAATACGAAAATAAAATGATCTCCGTGCTATTTTAGCTCCTATTCCCACAACTCTCTCGCTGCCTGTCCAGTCTGGCGTGGAATGAGGGAATCCGCCATCCCGCGTAAACTACCCCAACTCCAAGGGCTAAAGAAGTGAGAAAGAATGATCGTCCCTACTTTTCACCCGTCATCACCACGCTATGCTCGTATTTACCATTGAGGAATACCCCCCGTCTAGCCCCATAAGGCAACGAGAGCTCATTTCCCAAACCCAAAGAAGGCCTCCCAAAAAGAAGTTGGGGAAGACCTCTCTTCTGTACGGATACTAGGGCCTTTTCAGCTAGGTATGGGGGTCTTGCGTTCACAAGCGAACCAGCGTCCGTAAATCCAGTCAATTTCGCAGGATAACGTGGATCCATACAGGACGCGACGGGAGTTCCTTACTTGGACCATGGTTCGGATAGTTCGTCCGGACGGAAACCTCTAAGCCGGCGGAGGACGATGGAGAGACGTGAAGGGCCCGGCGGATCATGTAGGTATGCAGACGCAGCTAACGCAACGCATCTTGTCCGTTTGTCAAAGTGCTTACCTACTTTGAAGTCGAGCTGCGAGAGATTGCAATGCGTCGTCTTTCAGCCCGTAGAAACTGTTTGCAACTCTGTAGAAGTCCTCTCCCCAGATACATACAACTGCACATCATATCCCTTGTGCAATGCTTGGGGGAATGGGCTCAGCATCATAAACATCCAGTTCAAGATCCCGAACCCAAGAGAACGGGAAGATGGTGCGGGTTCATCCAACCTCAACGTCGGGTTGTCGCGTGCGCGCAACCCGGCCGCGCGCGTGTAAGTTGCGTCCGCTGTCCGCGCATCCAAGCCAGAACCCTGCGCTGACAGTTCATAGTCCCGAGGGAAACACCACACAAGGGAGGGAGGGGGGATTGGATCCCGTCATGACGGTATCGATCCCGCCGAAAAGCCAAGACTTTAATGCTCCAAAGAAACAAAATCCCACGAGCTACCCTAATTTAGCACCTTGATTCAAATCCAGGCTCTGTCCCTTGTCTGCACGCGTCGAAGCTGGGATTGACTTCTGGGATTAGGGGGGTGTGAATGGGCCCTTGGAGCTCGCTGCTGCGCAAAAGGAGAGGAAGACGTGAGCGGGAGCCCATAGACGTGGCTTAATGGCTCCCCAGGGCTGAGCCTCTCTCTTCCTATTCCTAATTCCTCTCTTATTCCTTTGCTGTGATCGTCAGTCTGCCTAGCTTTCTCGTCATCCCTTGCCTGATAATGTAGCATTCATCCGGGGGCATTCTACCTAGGCCTCCCAAGAAAGCACCACCGCATCCGTCGAGAGATTCATTGCTCACGGTGCAACAGCCAATGTTCAGGTTCCCTCCCAGCTTTCGAAGCACACAAAAGTCGTCCAATGATTGTCAAAGACAATATCAAAGTCCCACCAGTGTAAACCCAAAACTAAACCCAAAACCAAAACCAAAACCAAACGCTTTCACTGATAAACTTTCCCACGAACTTGACACAACCCGTGATCCGAACGAACCAAAACCTTGTCCTGATTAGGAAATTAAGAGCAAGAAAAAGCGACTGGGTGGGAATCCGAGAAACCACTCTATCCGTACAGGTCTAATCCCAGCATCCGTACTCCGTACATCGTGGGCTAATAGGTTCTCCGTACCTCTCGATCCCAAAGGTCTGCCTTACACCGCACTAAAACAAAAAAGTGTGGCCTGCCAAAAAAGCTGTGCACCCGCGCCTCAGTTCCCCCCCTCCCCCCCGACTCCCCCGGGCCCCTGCTCGCCGGACCTAAACACTTTCCCTTGGCCCCCTTCGCCCCGTGGCCGCCCGCCCCCCTTGGCACTCGACCGAACCACGCCTCATTCGTTTTTTATCCCACTCAGGTAAGGGCATATCAAACACATGTTCCGGGAACGGAAATTCACTATTCAGTAAACCCCATAATCATCATCATCATCACTCCCTACGTACCTTACAGAAAGAAAATAAGGAAGCAGGAAGGGGGGGGGGGGGGGGGGGGGGGGGGGCACGCACGGGGGAAAGGGAGGGGGTAACTGCAAGGGATGATAATGACGGACTTTGTGTTTCCTGTGGGCGGTGGGCCTGAGCTTGGCCTGGGGAGGGTACGGGAACCAATAATTACAGTGTACCTTGCTCTGTAAATGAACACAGAGAAAAGAGAACTGAGTGACAAAAGACAGAGACATAATCAAGAAGTGCAAGTCACGCACTCAGTCAGCGCGGGGGGGAAGCACCAAAACGCAACCCCCCAAAAGAAGCCAAAGCGGCGTCAAACCCAGGTGTCACAAGTCCGCCCGGGAATGGGGGAAGTAACGCACAATACCTCGCTAACGTAGACAACCTTGGTAGAGTGTAGTTTGCAGTTGTACCTGGTCTGATGACCCAGACAAGCCAGCAGGAGAGGAACGAGACCAAGCTTTTTGGCACCAAAAGGGCTTTTAAGTAAAAAGCTTCCCTTTCTAAACCCCCTGTACCACACCACCACCAAGAAACGCCCGGCTGCCTACCTACCTACATGGTACCTAACCCAGATCAGAAGCACAAAAGTCAAAAGGTTCGGGATTGGGGTACATGGTAATACATCGTCCAGAGTATAATATCGTGTCAGACCGCACCACCCCGTTTCCCCTCCATCCTCCCCTTCCTTTCCGTCCTCTTGAACCTGTGTCTTGGCTTATTATTATCCTTTTTTTTTTTTTTACTCTATCCTGCTTAAGGTCCTTGAGGACTCTTCCATATTACGACATACGACGACTGGTGGTGCTCGGATAGAGTGCTCGACTTACACATCCCGCCTACACGGATAACCTGGATCCCTTCCTCAAATCTCCGCCGATCATCCAACCAACCAACCGGTACCCTCTCACCAACACCAGATCAACTTTTTGTGATCGGCTCCTCGGAAACAGTCACAGCTTTAGAATAGGGAATCGAAAAAGTCCAGCAAAAACATCTTCTGTCTTTCTATTTGGAAAAAAGTAATCCAGGATATCCATCCCCCCCCCCCCCTACTGGGTAGTTGAATATGTACATTCAAAAAAATATGGCTCGTCCCAGCATCATCGTCTCTATGCTCGTCCTGTCGCTCTCCGGAACCGCGTTCGGCAGAGCGAGCTTCTTCGGCAAACAGCAACAACACGACGCAATAACGGATTGCGCGCGCGTCGATGCCCCGACTTCCTTGACCTGGCTTTTGCAAGATCAACCCTTTGAACAGGAGGATCCGTCCGCCTTTTTCTACGTCAACCAGGATATTGACGCGTCAGGTAGGACTTCTTTTTTTTTTGGTTGCTTTTTTGTGCTTTCTTGTCTTTTTTGGGTTGGCATATATGCCTCTCTGGTGTATAGTTTCCCTGACAAAGGAGATTTTGAATGAATGAATGAATGTACTCAAACGGTTCTCTTTTATAGGAAACAAGGCGAACAGAGTCGCGCAACTCGTCACCTTTGGCGGCGTCCAGGGACAACAGGAATCGACCGAGTGCCGCCTCCTGTTCAACATGCCCGAGGACTCAGAGAGCTGGGAGCTGATCCAGCGCGAGGGCGCCACCACGATGCGCGTTTTCCGCGTCCCCAGCTACGAAGGGGACGATTCCGTACGCCAGAAGCAGAATCTTCTGGGCACCGTCCTGGTCAAGCCCGGAACGCAGTCCATTGATCTTGGCCGATGCGACGGTAGCGGCAGTTTCGTATTCGAGCTTGCCGACGCGGGACGCAGTCGCGTCGCCTTCCGCCAGGCATCGAAGCCGAAAGACGGATTCGGTGTCTTCATGGCTCATGGGTGCCCGGTCCCTAGAAGGACCGAGTCTGAGGACCTGTGAAGAGGGGTGGTGATTTCGAATGACGAGCTGAAGAATTAGAATTTTGGTGCGATTTGGGTCTTTATAAGTTTGGTTTTCCGCCGAACTAGACGGGCACCCTCCACCCGTGGAGGTTGCCCACGTTCACACTCTCTTAGAACACCTGCGCTGTGTAAGGCATCCGCTCTCGGCGGAGGTGTGGTTGTGGTATCCGCATATCGCGACGGGAATGGCCGCGGCTTGGTTCTGGAGCGACCTCCATCACCAACGGCACGAGCAGGAAGTTATCCAGCTCCCTGCTGGCCGTGGTATGGGGACACCTACGTTCGCCGACGGCAGCTCGATGGCTGTGGAACGAACATTGCCGGAAGCCGAACTGGCGCTCTTCGTTGCGAAGCTTGTTAGCCGGGATGCGCAGTTGAGGGTTCTTGATGCGTGTGTCCAACTTGCTCGACTTCATCTTGCGCAGGTGCGAGGTGAACTCGTTTGCGAAGTCCGGGAAGCGTTCAAACATCTCCTGAAACCTCTCGAGCCCGCCATCGTCCTTCGCGATCGACGACGAACCTCCCGCAACGGACCATGCCACCATCGCTACGGTCCACCTCCGAATCCGCATCGAAGACTCTGCATCGCACTGGCCGTAGACGTATTGGACGAAGCGAGGAGTGACATCCCAGTCGCAGCGGAGGTAGATGTCTTGCAAGGCATCAATCGCAAGGTCTTGCAGGTGATGCAGGTCGAGCCTGGCAGCGAAGATGTGAAGGCGGACTAGGGCCCAGTGAAGTCGTTGGCATGGGACGCCGGGGGCATCACAGACGAGAGTGATCATCTCGTCGAGGTGTCTGCGGAAGCCGTCTCTTTGGTGCAGCCATACTACGAAAAGCTCGAACATGGAGGCGGATTCGTTGGGAAGGCGGATGGTCGACTTTTGTTGCGGCAACCATACCGGCACTGGTGTCTGGTTGGGTGTCACCTTGACGCCGGCTGGTGTAGCATCCAGTTGGTCCTCGAAGAAGGGGGCAGCGTTGCTGAGCTTCTGCTTGTTGATGCGGAACTCCTTCATCTTCTCGCCTCGACCGACGAATACGCGAGCCAGGTTATCATCCTCGTGTGATGATCTGGGATTGAAAAGGTCAGCTCGTGTCCAGGAACATTGATGTATTACAGGAGACTTACACGGTGGACCCCGATGGTCTGTGGAAGATGCCCTGTGGTCTAGTCATGGGTGCCATTGTGAAGATAGTGTTCCAGCACTTGGTATAAGAGCCAGCTCTGGATGAGAAAGTAAAGTAGAACAAAGTACTAAAGAACTTGAAGAATACAGAAAACCCAAGAGCACACTAATGAAAGGCCGTTGACTTCGTTTGTTACCTTCACTCTCCCAGAGAGCTTGAGAAGAGAAAAGAGAGAGCACACCAGAACTAGTCCTAGATGGATCCGAGGACGCTCTTCATTATCAATTGCTCCAAGTCTGGATGCAACTTGAGCAGGGTAGAGGCGCCGCAGATATGGGGAACTTCACGGTCACACACGAGCTTCTCTAACACCATGGCCCCTGTGTCGTCTGCCAAGTGCAGTGTATGAATAAGCTTATACGTGATAATCGATGTTAAGCCAGTTTCAGAAAGGAGGGTATAAGGGTGTGGCTGGCTTGGTGCTCAGCCAGGGCTCTGCTGGGGCTTGTCGGGAGTTGCTGGGACTCTTGCTGCATCTTCAGCTTAACAGAACGCTGATATGGGGCAGCGATTCACGTCAAAGACGAGATGATGCTGCTTGGGACGGTAGGGGTGTTGGTTTCAAACGTCATTGTCAAACGCCCTGAGTGCATTGGTGTGGGAGTCGTGCCGCGCGAAGTGCTCCCTCAACTGCTTCAGGCGACAGGGTTGTAGGCTGTGTTCTCGTGGGACACGGCTGTAGCGGAAGCTTGGGGCATCTTAGCCGTGGCTGATATAGGACCGGGGTCCGGTGCTTGGATGCATTCCTTGACGTTCCCGCCGAGCCCTGTCAAGAACTGTCTCGTCTGTGCAGGCGATCTCCTGCTTACACCTGGCTCGGAGTTGCAATCGATGGTTTGGCGAGAATTTTTTTTTGGCAAGCCAAGGTGCTCGATAATCTCTCAATCCACCCTCAGATGGTGCAGTGGTGGTTTCTTGATCTCCTATTTTTGGTGGCGTTTCCTTTTTATATACA